AAGTCCATGAATTTACATGTGGTTAGGCAACCTTGAGCCCAAGCTAACATCCTTCACTGGGTGCCAGGCCCCTCCCATAGCTTTCTTTATTAGCCATCCACTGTCTACTGCAGCAACACCCAGCCCCCCATACAGCTGCTCTCCCCAGGCAGGGCCTGGCTTGGCCTGCAGCCCCCTGCAGCTGCCCTCTGACTGTGGTCCACTGGCCTCTGAGTACTATCTGATCTTAGGCATCCCGGGTGCAATCCTTGGGAGGCTTTGGGGACGGCCACACCCCAGCCTCTCTCTGTGTATCTGCTATGGTAGTTTGTCCTGGAGCAAAATGTGTCTGCAGCAGGCAGGCAGGTGTGGGCCTCAGACTCACACAGGCCTCACCCTGTCATTAGCAGGTAGGCATTTTCCATTTCCAAACCCCTGGTGCAGATTCTGGGTCAAGCCTGCCTCATTGCCTTTTGTGCTCCTCTGCAGTCTCTGCCCTGCTCCAACCACCTGCCCACCCTCTCCATCCTGCCATAGCCCCTCAGTGACCAGAGCTGGTCAGGGATCTGTCTTCCCTGGCCACTAAAAGAACTTGGTCACGGCCTCTGGGCTATGACTGCACTGGTTGGTGGCTGAAGCAGCTTGTGGGGAAGAAGCCCCATGGGTCACCTGTATGTGACAGTCCTGTCCTCATCTGAGCTGACATTTGGGTCACATGAACACCAGGAAAAAGAAGATGAGGGATAAAAAGGACACCCCCCAACTTGGTCATACCATCATCATCAAACCTACCTCTTCCCATTGTGGTACTCAAGCTGAATGGCCAGTCAGAACTTGGGGGGGTGGGGTGGGTCCCCAATACGGAATTCCCAGCCTCCGACCTAGGCAGCAGTTGGGCAACCATGGAGTTGCAACAGATCTGAGTGGACTCAGTGAAGCCCCCGCCCAGCGGGAGTGGCTGGTGCATATCCTTGCTGGCTGCCCCAGTGGCTGGAGCAGCCCCCAGGAAGGCGGTGTGGCCAGAGCTTCCGGAAGCTCAGTGGCTGGCCCTCTCCTGCCTGCTGCTGCTCTTGGGGCCTTCATTCCACGTCTCCAAGAGGCCATGGCAGCGTGAGGGAAAAGCAAGAAGGGCGATCCAGTGCCTGGCGATTTCTCCTGCAGGTGCTGTGAGTATGAGACCTGTGCTTCTCACTGAGGGAGGATCAGCTGCCAAGGTGGGTGCAGAAAGAGAAGATTCTAGAGGAGTTTCTGAATGAGGGGAACCCCTGCCCCAGGAGGAGTAATCTGAGGGGACTTGGAGTCGCTTCCAGAAATGGCTAGTGTTGGGGTTTTGCTTGGGAAGTATGGGGGTGGGATGGTCTTGGGAGATAGGGCATCACCCCTGCTCCCCACCCTTCATTGAGCCCAGCTTGGTTACAGACAACCTGTTCTTTGTGTACTTTGCTCCCCCCTCCCCGAGAACAAAAGTGGCACCCATCAACCCACCCAATGGGGCCTGGCTGCCTGATCCACGGGTGCTGGTGGAATTGCCATCACAGGTTGGGGTCTCCTCTGGGTTATCATGAATGCCTTCCTTGTCCATAGTCTGCATTGAGTCTTGAATCCTCCTTAGTAAGCACAAGTGCCTCTGGAGCAGAAGCTACTGCGGTGGATGGCACTGGACCAGGCAAGGAGCTGCCCCCCTGAGGGGCAAGAGATGACCATGGAGGCATATGGGCATGGCTTCCCACGGGTGCAGGCGCCAGGCTCTACCTCAAAGGAGGCTGCGTCCATCACAACAACTGCATGACCCCTTCCCGGCCTTGTGTGTGCGAGTGCCCTGGCCCGGCCCCCAGGAAGAACTCCAAGCAGTGCTTAGCAGCAGGAAGGTGGAGCTCAGAAGGGAGAAGGGAACGTGTTTCCCAGGATGAAGGACCCACTTTAGTGCCATGCCCATTATGTAGGGTTTCCGTAAAATGCACGGAAGATGTTGATTTTGGAAAATACCCCTTGTATGCATGGATCGCTTGTGCATTAACTCCACTGTGCTCAGCTTGTAGAAGTGTTTTCATAGCAGCACCTCGGAACTGAGCTGCGGGGAAACAGAACTTCTCCCTGTTAGATGTGAGAGAGCCTTATGAGGAATTCCACAAGACGGATTCCAAATGTTCTAGGAAAATAGAAGTAGAAGATGTTTATTTGGGTGCAAAAAATTTGTTTGAAACCCAGACACGTTTTTTCATGACATACATCTTCCATGAACTTGTGGAGGCACGCAGGTTGATTCCAAACAGCTACAACAGCCAGGGCTAAATAGTGGGCCTGGAGCTCCATGGGGGTCTCCCCTATGGTCTCAGGCACCCGGGTGTGCATCAGCAGGAAACGGCACAGGAAGCAGAGCCGAGGCCCAGGCCCAAGCACTCTGACGGGGAAGCAGGATTTTGACCACTGAGCCAAGTGCCTGCTTTCTGTACCCCAACTTTGGGCATGATTGTAGACTCCAGAAAAGGATCTGAAAAAGTTGGGGTCCCTGAGGTGCTGGGGGTCCTGCAGGCAAGGAAGGGTGTCTGGTGTGTATGGCTGTGCAGGAGCGGCCTCCATAGTGCCCTGTGCCTTAAGCTCACTCCAAGAACGAATGGGACACCTGGGAGGGGCACCTGCCCAAGGCCTCTAAGGGGTTTGAGGAGTAGGCCATGGTACTTTCTCCTCAGTTGGTTTCATCACAGGAGCTAGGGGCAGGTAATGGATAATGACAGCCACGAGCCGGGGGTCTCTGGGGTGAAAGGTTGAAGCGCCAGGCACAGCATCCATCTTCCGTGGGCCACCATGCATCCTTGGTGCTTTCTGGTTTGCCTCCGAGTCTGCCAGCAGCTGGCTGGAGCGCTTTCTAAAACAGAGAGTACTGTCACAACAGAAGCCCTGCACCTGTGGGTTCTGAATCGTGGATCCAACCAACAGGAGATGCTATATGTTTGGGGGGGGGGGGAGAAGTTGTGTCTCTCGTAAGCATGGGAAGGTTTTGTCTTGTCATTGTTCCTGAAGTGATGCAGGCTGTTTACATAGCACTCACATGGTATTGGGTGTCTTCCGGCACCTAGAGAGGATGGAGTGTACAGGAGGGGGTGCCCAGGTGCTGGGAGGCACCTGAGCACTCTCTGTCGTGGTATCCACCAGGGGCCTGGAGCCAGCCCCTAAGAGAAATCCACTGTCACTTGGGCAGGGATTTCAGGGACTCGGGGTGTCGGCAGGGGATGGCAGGTGGGGGAGTGAAGCAGTGCCCATGTGCTAACAGAGGGGAGGAGGGGAAGGGCAGAGGCTAGAGGCTCTGAGGACTCCGGCCCCGTGGGCTTGAAGTCACTTGTGTTGCCTGTGCAGAGGGCTTGTAGCCTGGCTGGGACTCTTCTCTTAACAAGTGAGTGGGGTGCGTGGGGTCAGGATGGCTCGAGAAGAGCTGAGATACTGTCCGTTATCTGCCTGTGTGTATGCTCCAGAGTTCTGTGTCTGTTTTATTTTCTTCTGCCTGAGTTTTATTTTCATTGAACTCATTTATTTTATTTAGAATGACTACCAGATGCACACATGTCAGGTGAAAGAATTGCCTAACTCAGGGGAGCGAGCGATCAATCCATTGGGAAATAACCAGTCACTCAGCTATTTTAATTGATGGAACAAAAAATGAGCCTGCTCAGGCATCTAACCCATGTGACAAATGTGGGGCAGCACCGGGCCTGTGAGGAGAGGCTGGGAGGTCAAGCTGGTCGTGCTAGCTTAGGGAGGGGAAAAGGCCAGTTGTTGGCACTTAGGGGGCCTTGGGATGGTGGTCCTGTGGAAGAGGCAGGGAGGTGTGCCATGGTATAGCTTGCAGAAGCTTCCCTTCTCTGCTTCGGCTCTGCCCCACCCTGCCATGACTCCCAGTCACAGCCTGCGTCAACTTGCCCAATAGCCTTCCACCCAGGCTGGCTGGCAAGCCCACAGCCGAGAATATTCTTTCGGCTCCCCGAGTGATGCCTCTTAACTTCTCCACCCCTGGGAGTTGGGAAACAGTGTGCCCATGGGTAGCAATGGACTGTGTGGCTTGTGTTTGGATGCAGGCAGCCTTTGTGAACAGTCTGGCCCAGGTGCCCACGATTAAGCCCTTTCCCTCCTCCTCTTCCTTCTGTGTCTTTGAAGCATCCTGTAATAATCTATGTCATACACGCCTCCTTGGCATCACCAGTGATGTTCTGTTTTTGTTTTCAGAAAAGCAGCATGGTGCTTACAGAATGCCCAGGCTCAGACTGGACAAGTTCTTTTGAGTACCTCTTGGAAGTGAAGGGATGGGACCCCAGCACAAAGCTACTCATGCCCTGAACTCCTAGCATGCACTTGGTGCTGCTTGGAGCTGTCCCGACCGAGGGCTCGGGGGAGCAGCTGCAGCCCCTGAGGCTGGACTTGGCTCTCCCTGTCTGTGACATCACTCCCCTTCTCCCTCCTGGAGAGAGGCATAGGAAAGGGCTCTTGGGCAAATGATCTTTGTTAAGGGGCTTGATTTGGGACAGTCCAACAGAAAGAATCCTTTTGGCTTATAAGGAACAATATGAACTTGAATCTGTCAGCACAGAGAGGGAGGGGTATGTGAGTCTATTTCATGTCTCCAACCTTACAGGTGGCCTTACAAAGGAATAAGTATATTTAGCTCTCAGAGCTGGCTTCCGCCTGGCTTTGGTAAGAGCCCATGGCAGGGCGGTGTAATGGCATGCCCTTACTCTGTGGCATGGCTTAGGGCGGGTGCCCACACTGGCCCAATGGAGCAGGGCAAACAGCTTCTTTAGGGCCTGGGACACTTCTTCCCCAGCTTTCCTCCATATTGCGCCCTGTCCTGTGCTGAAGCACCTGCATAGGAGGTGCAGGACCTCCGTGTCCTGCATAAGCCGGTTGAGCCACCCTGTGTTCCTAGCGAACAAGGCAGAAGCAGCAGTGTGTAGGTTGGAGGCCATAGATGTCCTTGGTTCTTTGTTCTGCTAACCTTGGGTCTGTCCCCAGCAGGGTCATCTCCGAGGACAATGAACTTGGCCCTGTGTCTGGGCCTGCTTCTGGCCAGTCTCCTCACTGTGAAGGGTTTTCTGCAGCCCAACCTCTCCAAACTGAACTATGGATATGCAAACCAGGCCCAGGGGTGGCGGGGCAAGAGGATAGCTCAGGAGCTGGCTCGACGCAACCTGAGTTTTGGCTTCAAGCTGCTCAAAAAGCTGGCCTCTGACAACCCGGGCAAGAACATCTTCTTCTCCCCGCTGAGTATCTCCACCGCCTTTTCTATGCTGTGTCTGGGGGCCCAGGACGCCACCCTGGCCGAGATCAAGGAGGGCTTTAACTTCCGGGAGGTGCCCGAGCGGGACCTGCACGAGGGCTTCCGTTACCTCCTGAGCAGGTTGAACCAGGAGAAGCGGGACATCAAGCTGCGGGTGGGGAACTCCCTGTTCATCGACCGGAGGCTTCAACCACAGAAGAAGTTCCTCCGAGACACCAAGAATCTGTATGAGGCAGAAACCATCCCCACCAACTTCCAGAACTCTGCATCTGCTCGGAAGCAGATCAACGAGTACGTCAGTCAGAGGACCCAGGGCAGGGTCTCCAACCTGGTCCAGAGCATAGACCCTGGCACCGTCATGCTTCTCACCAATTACATTTTCTTTCGAGGTAAGGCTTAGGGTGTGGCGGCCTGGGATGGAGACGAAGGCCAGGATGGAGATGGCTGACTGTGGCCTTGCTCTGGGACCTTGAGTTCAAGTGCACCTAATCTCTCTTACCCTCTGCCAAGCGGATACCACGGTACAGGCTCCACTAGGCAGTCACTGCGGTTCAAAGCAAAGAGGTGGATTAGCTAGGGGGTGTCTGCATTGGCTTCCATGTGTGCCTTTCTTTATCACTCTCTTAACACAGTGTGGGTTGTGGAGGCTGGTGAGGCAGTCTTTGTTCCTGAACCGAGAACAGTGAGATGCAGACAGACTGACGACTGCCACGAACAGGACCTGCCTCCGAGAGGAAGGACCTTAGACCTGTGCCCATCCCACTGTGCCCAGGAAACACCCAGGGTGGGGACTGTGCTGGGGACACTTTGATGGCCGCCTTGGTTGCTTGATCAGATCTTGTGGAGTTCCCAGATCTGAAAGAGACAGACTGGTGGAATAACATTCTCACACTTAAGCCTCGTCTCCCACCACTACAGGAAAGCTCAGGTACCCCACATGTGTACAGAGGTGCCAAACAGTTGAGCCTCGCAGGTCAAACCCTTCAAGCTAGGTGACACAGGCATAGCCCTGAGTACAGGTCACATTTCCCCAAATCCACAGGAAGATGGGTAGCTATGCAGGAGAGAAAAAAAGTGGTGATCACGAACATCTGGAACTTTAGTCACCAAAGAAGGTGGGGGAATAGTTTGGACTTCCCCGGAGTCTGTGTGCTCCCTAGGTCACATCGGGACCTGCAGTTACAACAGTGAAGCTATGATAACTAGTACCCACTCAACATCCTGTACACACGGTCACCAAGTCTCAAAGCAGCCCAGTCAACACACCCATTCCATGAACAAGGATGCTGAATGTCAGCAAATGAGGGCATCTTTCCAAGGTCGTCCTTCTAAAGCAGACAAGTCGGGCTTTGAACCCAGGGAGCTGGTCTTCAGAGCTCTCCATATTGGCAGCTTAGGGGTAGCAGGGTTGAAAAGACATAGGTCTGAGTTTCTGCTGTTTAGAAAGAAACATTGAGCTGCTCGATGCTCAGCTTTGGGTATTCATGGCTTTTGAGCAAGCTCCTGGGGGTGGCCTGCTGGAGCCATGTGCCTGAGCTTGTGCCAGACCCAGACAGCTGTCAATCACTGCCATCCATTCTTGTCTGTTAAGATATGATAGATGGGATGCTGGGGTTTCATCCTCTATGCTTCTCTCTGAGCTTAGCAGCCTTGGGCCTGACTCTTGTGGAGTTAAAAATGAAGGGCTTTAACTTCCAGGAGGACCTGAGAGGGACCTACACGGGGGCTTCCATTACTTTTTTGGGTCTGAGTCTACTTCTTTCCATGTCTTCAAACCACAGCATGGGAACAGAGACTCCCCAGGGAACAGGGGCTCCTGGGGTCTTTTTCTGACACTCCTTTGCCTGAACCTGTGTGTCATGGATTCTTGAACCCCTTTCTCCCCGGTCACTCGTGTCACTTTGTCTTTCCTCACTCCTAAGCCAGGTGGCAACATGAGTTTGACCCAAAAGTGACCAGAGAGGAAGACTTTGCAGTGAGCAAGAACAAGTCTGTGCGGGTCCCCATGATGCTGCACGGGGGCATGTATGACACCTGCCGGGATGAGCAGCTCTCCAGCACCGTCCTGGAGATGCCCTATGAGGGGAACATCACGGCTGCATTCATCCTCCCAGACGAGGGCAAGCTGAAGCACCTGGAGAATGGCTTGCATGTGGACATTTTTGCCAGATGGAAGAAGCTCATGACACACAGGTGAGGGGCGCGTGCAAGGACCGTCTCCTGTCTTTTTCTTTCCTCCTCTTCTCTATGTATTTCCTCCATTGCATGGTCACTACCACGGCCCTCTTCTGGGCTCTGAAATGAACTTAACACTGCGACAGGTAGTAGATTGGACGAGTCAGAGGAATACAGCGTCTGCTTGCTCTTTGGGGAGCTGCATGAGAGCCATAAGGGCACAAGGCATGGAGTCTTGGTGGTGGCTGACGGTCAGGGCGGGCTTCATGGAGCAGGTGGCATTTGAGCTAGCACCTTGAAGCTGCAGAGAGGTGAGAAGTGTCCAAGGCACAGGGAACGGTGAGGACAGGTGTGGGGGGTGTCAAAGGGAGCCGTGTGTAGTTCATTGTGACTGGAATGGGGTTTCGATGGAGTGTCCCTAGGAAGCTACACTCATAGTGATTGAGGAACCAAAGTGACTCAAGGTTTCCCTTCAGGCATAATATAAGAACGAGTTTCAGATGAGCCTGTGGGATGTATCACAGGTGCCTGCCTGCTGATAGGTCTCTGCAAGGTAAGGCCTAGGGCTGGACTTGGGCAGCACAAAGGCACCCAGTCCCTTGAAGGGGCCTGGGGTAAGGCGGGATCTATGTCAAGCAGGATGGGCCGGGACAGACAGGGGTGAGCTGGAGAAGGTGGGCAGTGTCCACCTTGCCCCTCCCTGCCTTGTGGGGAGGTGGGGATGGCACTGGGCCCAAGATGGGCTCTAGTAGGTGGCAACTGAACAAATGCCAATTTCACATGAACCCACCCTGGGAGGAATTGCCTAACAGCTCTGAGATCCGGTGTTCGCTGCAAACTCTGAAATGGAAAACTTGGGCTCTGAATGCTTCAGATGAAGTTACTGCTGGGAAGAGTGAGGCAGGTGGGCTGAAGGCAGGGCTGCCCTCTGTCAGGCACAGCAGCTGGCACAGGAGAGGGCTGGAGGAATGCCCACTGCGGAGGGCTCATGTGGGACTTGCATGCTCCCTAATCCAGCCTCCCCAGGGGGCCACATGAGTCTCCTTCCTCACCTTCCCCCTTCCTTGGGCTGCTCAGTGGCAGGTGTATTGCACATCAGAGCCTCAGGGTAGCTCTCAGGATAAAGGCTTACCCTCCCAAACAGGAATGGCTTTACAGCTGGATGCCTCCAGGGGTCCTGTTGCTTTTAGTCTGTGCTCTGTAGAGTTCATAGAGGCCTTGGGGATCTCCCTAGGGGGTGAGGAGTGAGGAAAGTGAAGGGATGCCCTCGACTCCCCACTTCACCCTGAAGTCCCGCCTGGGTCAATGTTGGCCCAAGATTGCTTCTCCTGTAATGTGGTGGTTTCTGCCAAGTTCCTGGTCTTGGGTCTGTAGTGTCAGATCTGTAGTAACAGGGCCCACTCAGGCCTTGGGCACGGCCTAGACTGCATGGGAGAAAGCTCAAGTGACAATGACTGATGGGGTCCTGAGATGGTGGACCCATGTGGACAAGGGCTCCAGGTGGGAGAAGGGACCAAGTGCAGAGGGCTGTTTGGTATCAGGGTTTCAGGGCTAAGGGACCCCTCTCTAATATGCATCAGGAGGATCTGAGGTCTCCAGGGCTGGGGAGGACAAAGCGTCACTCCCCATTGGCCCTCAAGCCTGTCCTGGAATGTGGCAGGACTTTCCCCCTGTGTCACTGCCCCCTCCCCAGGGTTGTAGATGTGTCTGTCCCCAAACTCCGGATCAGTGGCACCTATGACCTGAAGAAGACCCTGTCCCGCCTGGGCATCAGCAAGATCTTCGAAGAGCATGGCGACCTCGCCAGGATCGTCCCCCACCACAGCCTCAAAGTGGGTCAGGTGAGCCTGGGGGGCTGGCCCCTGCCCTTGCCCCCGATGCTGGGAGCCTCCCACAGCCCCAGGCTCAACCCAAGGTCACAGCCAGGGTCTGAGCTAGAGTTCTACCCACCAGCCAGGCCATCCCTGGCCATTACCAGCCAAGTAATCCCTGGCAAACCATGAAACCTCCCAGGTCCTCTTGGGTGCAGTCTTGGGTGCCGGGAGGGTCAAGCTCCTGGTGCTATTTTGGACTCAGACTCAGTGCAACAAACATTGACCAAGGCCCTGGATGTGTGTCAGACTGAGGTCTAGTCTGGGTCTGACTCAGACTCTCTCAGGATTAAGTTGTAAACACACAGCGTGTGATGAAGAGATGATTAAGTCATGCCCTGCGGCCAAGGACAGCACCTGCCTGCTTGGGACGCCAAGAGAGGACCATTATGGGAGGGTCCCAGATGAGACAGACACCCAGCAGTTTGCATTTCAGATAAGCAATGGAATTGTTGTTGTGGTTTTTTTTTTTTTTTTGGTATCGTAAATACATCCCAGGTATTGCATGGGACATATTTGCACAGAAACATAATCATTGTTTATGTTGAACCCAACTTGAACTGGGTGCCCTGTCTAGCAACCCCACCCTGGGTGTACAAGGGCATGGGAAAGGAAAGGAGTTCAACAAGTAGAGGTGGCTGTGGGTGGCGGCCCCAGGCATGGGGAGTAGCCCCCAGACTCGAGGGAGTTCCTCTGGGGGCGACAAGGCAGGTTCTAGCCTGCCTGGGAGGAAACCAGGTCATGCAGCCGATCGGGTGGCACTCCATCAGTATGTGCTTCCCTTTGGCCAAAGGAAGAAGCTGGATTTGGGTCTCTGCAGCAAGTCCCACTATTAGAAGTTTGTGAACCGGATTCCCACCAATTGCCTGCTCACACATGGTGACCTTGAGTCTGGCTCCCTCTTAACCACCTGCGGGAGAGTGTGGCAGAGCTGCAGCTTGCAGGCACCAGCCAGGTTATTCCTGTGCCACCTCCTTCCCTGGGACACTTGTCTGAGGCCCACCAAGGTCGCCGAGTGGCAGGACAGGTTCTGAACTGCCCTTGACTCTTGCAGGCGGTGCACAAGGCTGAGTTGCAAATGGATGAGAAGGGCACGGAAGGGGCGGCAGGCTCTGGCGCCCAGACACTGCCCATGGAGACGCCACTCAACATCAAGATGAACCAGCCCTTTCTGCTGATGATCTACGAGAAGGTCACCCCATCCATGATCTTCTTGGCAAGGGTTGCTGATCCTAGCAAGTAATGGGGTGGGGGTGGGTATGTGATACCTACTGGATGTGGACCCCATCCCCAGCCTGGACCTGGGTACACTTCGCTTCCCAGGGGGTCAAGACCATGGGCATTCAGATCCAAGCCTGCACCATCACTGCTTGCCAAAACCAACATGAATGGCACTGTTGGCTCTGGAGGCTCTTGGTTACCTCTCTTTCCAATGTCATCCCAAGGTCAACGTCAGACATCCATACCCACCCATCCCCTGGATGTGTTCTCATCCCTGCACAGTTTGAGGGGTATGGTGATTTTAATAAACATACACTTATGTCATTCTGGTTTGATGGTTGTTAGGGGATGACAAGGAAGGTTGGGTGAGCCACAGCAAGGGGTTCTGGGGCTGTACAGGGGTCTGCATTCAAATTCTAGGATGTGGCGTCTTGGAGGAAGCCACCTGGTCTCTTGCAGAGGGGTGACTGGAGCTCTCTGCCCACTCTGTGGGTGTTGGGTACAAGAAGGAGATCCTGGGGGCAAATCCAGGACCTGCCGGCAAATCCAGCTCAAGAGCAAAAAGGCAAAAAAAGGGGGGAGGGGCCTGCAGAATTTGCCTAGGACCACCAGGGGGCGCCAGGACTCACAGCATGGGTTCAGAGACCCGTGTGGACACCTTGCAGACGGCTGGCTCCTCTAGGTCCTTCAGTGAATGGCCCAGGCTTCCTGTGTGGAAGGGCACCTGGCTGGCTGGGTCTCAAGAAGCCTGAGGTGGCACCAGATTCATGGGGTGGTTTGTGTGGTAATTTTGCCCCCATGAGCCCTTTGGGTTCTAGTCACCGCTGTCCTGTGGGCAAAATTGACACTCCATGTCAGATGTGGAAACATGGAGGCTCAGGGAAGGGAAAGACCTTCCTGTGGCCTCCTGGGGTGTGACAGATAGCAAGGACCAGGGTCCCTTGCCTTTGGGGTGGAAAGGGAGGCGTCCCCCTGACCTGGCCTCTTTCTTCAAGTTCCCTTTTCCTATGCAGGGAGTGCCTCCTGTCCCATCCCAGACCCCGCAGGGCCCCAAGTCCCAGCCTGGGGTGGGGGTGCTGGTGCAAATACTATGACCGGGCCAGGGTCCTAGCGTGTGCTAGGGCTGGGAACTGGAAGCGAGAGCAGCTTCTTTCTTGAGAGAGTGGGAGTGGGGAACAAAGCTGAGAGTCCACGCCAGGGACCCAGTCATTGTGTCCCCTGCCTTCCCTGGGGGAAGACACCAGAGGGATACAGACACCTGGAACCGTCATCTCAAGTGTGTGGCTTGTGGCCCTGGCCCTGTAGGCTGCTCAGAAGGTGAGTGGCATGGGCAGGTTCCTTGTCCAGCTCCGTTTGCTGAACAGAACTCAGTACTTGTACCAGCCAGTGCAGGGCAGCTAGGGGGTCTGGGAGGGCCCGGGGACACTGTGCCCAGTGGCTGGTGTCCGCCACCTCCCCTGCTTGCACCAACTCAGACAGCTGCTTCCTGAGACGTTGCTCTCTGCTGCCCCCACTGGTGAGAACTCCCTCCTGCTGTCTGGCCAGCTCCTACTCACCCTCCAAAACCCAGGTCATGGTCTTGAACTTCATTCTGCCTCCCAGGCATGTCCAAGAAGGCGGGCCTGAGGCCCCTTGTGCCCCGTAGGGGCTGCGGTCACTCTTGCACTCAGGAGTGACTCGGGGAGCGGTCCTCTTCACGCTGGTCATTGATGACAACAGATCTGGCTGCTACCTTTCCTGGAATTCCTGTGTGGTGGGGGGCTATAGCCACAGTGGCTTGACTCTCGAGCAGAGCTCACGTGACAAGGGGAGTCAGCAGGCAGTGCTGTCAGAGGATGGGATAGCAGGATCTGATCCGGTTTAGGGATACACCATAGGGACGGGGTGTTGAATGCCAGGAGCCCATTGATTTTTAGCCTGCAGCTATTTATAAAACTTGCACAGGAGTGTGAATGCCTGCAGTGGGCGGGGCTATGTCTGCCTGTGAGGGCGGGGCTGTCTGCAGTGGGCGGGGCTATGTCTGCCTGTGAGGGCATGGCTGCACCTGCAGTGTGCATGGTTGTGGTTGTGCCTACGAGGGGTGTAGCGAAGCCTGCCTCTCCACGTGGGCTGCCCTGCCGCCTTCCTGCACCAGCTCATGCTGTCCCACCCTGCCCAGACACTCTCCTTGTTTTCCACATCCTCCCACCACTTCCTTCCCATAAGGTCAACTCCTACTTCTTCTGGAAGTTTCCCAGGCCACATGTTTGTGGACCTACCAACCTCAAAAACAAGCGAGTGAGCGAATGAGTGGATTTGCCTTTGATGAGACCGAAGTTTGGCTGGATGCCTATCGAAGCCTCACACAGGGAGTGCCCTTGCCAACCCTGACCTTGAACCCTCCAGGTGGGTGCCATCATTGCTCTTACTAATGAGGAAGCCAGGTGTGTAGCCTGTCCCAAATTCCACGGGGAGAAAGCCTTAGAACTGGGAGCCGATGCATATCCCAGCACATATTTGGCTTGCGTTAATCCGCCGTCCAGGCACCGGTCATTCCTTCATCCAACAGATACTCACTGGCACACATCAGTGAGCAAAGGTGACAAGGATCCTTACCCTGTGGAGAGAGGCTGTGCACAAACAGCAGGTGCACGAAGGGAGAAGAGTCTCAGGGGAGCAGGCGGCGGAGGCTGGAGGGCTGGGGTGCCGTCTGGGGCTGAGGCTGACGTCCGTCACTCAGAACAGTATGCTCTGCCCTGCTGGCATGTCCCAGCAGCACAACATGCTGTCTCTTGTGGGTTATGTCCACTTGTGATTGGACACTAATGGACCTCCTGTCCTGCAGCCCTAGGCATGGGCAGGGTTACCATTCCAAGCGTGAAGTCCAATTTCTACTGTAAACATATCACCTTCCTGTCTTCTGCGGAGTCAAAATCATAGGTCAGCTATTATTTACCAAAGATGTATCTTTGAGTCCACACACATTTAAAAAAAAAAAAAAAGCTGATTAAATCAACAGACCATCATCGCAGTCACATGTGGAAAGCTGTCCGACTTTGCCACAAGCAAAAAGTACAAATGCACACACAAGACTGAAGCAAACCTATTTCACCAGGACTGCTGCCTGCCACAGGTGCCAAGCTGGAGGCCTGATCTGCTGTGCATGACCTTGGCAGTGGCGAAGAGGAGACAGACCAGGCCAAGACTTTCTCCTCCAGGGAACTGGGAAGACTGGGAAGAAAACTGGACAGGAGGGTGGCTGCCACTGCCTGGTGCTAGAGAACCAGGTCTGTCTCTGTTGCCGACTTCTGCACTAGGTCATGAGTCACATCTCCTGCCACGCCGTGCTAGTGGTTTCTGACTACATCTGGACACTGGCATGCTATCATTTTGTTACTTGAATTTTGCTGTCTTTCTTTACAGTGTATTGACCTTTGTCTTGCTAGATAAATTATTTGAAAGTCTTTTTGCTTCTATCAAGGCATGTTTTTAAGATTTGTTAGAGTGTGTTAGATGGAACTTTAAATCAAAGTTAGTTTAGCACCAAAGCCAAGAATTGACCCTCCTGGGGCCTCTACCGAGCGGCCCTTAAGCCTGCACTCGGCATGAGCCTATTCTGAACAGCTCTGTGCTCTGAGACTTGTTTTGTTTGCACCTTCACACGTTTTTAGTTTAGTTTAGTTTTTGTTCCCGAATGGGACTGTATGTGTTTTGTTGACCAGCCCGTCACGTGGACTTTCGCTTTTCCGAGGCAGAGCTCAGCACTTAGCTTTGGCTTTGTGGAAACCCATTTACACACTTGTGAAGATCTCTCTGTGCTTCACTGCACAGATCATAGCTCCTGCAGCTCTCGCCAATCGTGGGCTTAGCCAGTTGGCTTTGCTTCTCTGACTCTTGTCCCACATCTGCACCGTGTCATGTTTTTCCAGGCTGTCAATTGATGCATGCGCGGTCTGGATCTTTCTCTGTTTTTAACTGCTTGTAAGTCCATTACCAGTGGCTTTATCTCAGTCAAAAGTGTCAGCCAGCTTCTCACACATGTACATGTGTGTAACTCTCACTGTGCCTCATACATGTGTATATGAGTGACTGTCACCATACTTAAGAGACAGATGTTTTTCAGCCTAAAAGAGTCCCCCTTGCTCGTTTCTTGTGTCACCCCTCGGAGATCAACTGCTCATTTAGTCTCACCTTTGTTCACTCATTTTGTCAGTCAACACCCTCTGAATCCTTAGTCTTGGCCACAAAAGTGTGTACAGGAACATTAAGGCAGACAACAATTCCTGACTCCCAGTCTCTCCGACATGTGAGATTATTACACACATAGTGTTTCTCTAGAAGATTGATGGAGCTACAGAAATATTTGTCTTCATCTGGGAAGCAAGTCTCCTTAAGGACGATATAAGTGATGAATAACAAGTTGGATGAAGGCAGCGGAAAGAACACTCCAGAATAGAGTATAACAAAAATCAATGCGAGACTCCTACAATGGATGGAGGGGTCCAAGGCACAAGCCAAAAGTGAGGGGCCTTGTGATTTGTGATGAAGTTGGCGGGGCCATGAAGTCCAGGTCGTATACATGGAATTAATGATTGTGGGGTTCACTGTGGGAGACGTGAGGCTATGAAACATTCAGTAAGTAAGCACTATGGTAAATGTCTGAGTTTCAAATGACTGTGCTCATTGCCATGTGCACAGTGAACGTAGGAACAAGGCAGGGCACGTAGATGGACCTGTTGGTTTCCGTCATAGCCCTGGTGAGGCAGGGAGAACATAGGTAACCTGCTAGTGGTGGGGACAGAGAAAAAGAAATGGTGGCTATTAGCGATAGTTAAGAAGTGAGCTTGGCAAGACTGGCGATGGGGTTACCATGGGGACTGAAAAAGGAGGCGGCGTCAGGGAGACTCCCAGCTGGAGTAACTGGAGAATAGGAACACTAGAGATGGAACACCCTTCCATCTCTAGAGTTCCTGTTCTCCAGTTGTTGTTCATCTGTAGAGATGGTATTTGGGAAAGTTGGGTTCACTCAGGGCACATTGCACCCAAGAGCTGTTTGCACTATCGGGAGGAGCTAGCAAGAAGGCAGTCAGAGAGGGAGTGCAGAGGACTGGGCTGGAGATGAAAAATGTGATAACACTGTATCTCAGGAATGAAGCTGTGGGAGTGATGAGGTCAGCGAGGAGAGGAGAGTTTAAAGTGAGGGAAAAGCACGAAGCAGTGGAGGACAGAGGCTGCCTGCACATAAGGACTGGGCAGGAGGAGATGAGCCGGCCAAGGTGAGTGTGGAGCAGAGGCAAATGGGATTGTGGCAGCTCAGAACCAAGCGAAGGCCTGCAATGGAGTCCCAGGTGGTTTCTGCTCTGTTTGTGTTCTGCCAGCCAGCCAGCCTAGAGACAGCTCCCCAGGCTCTGCTGGCTAGGGTAGCATTCAGTCACCTTTCTCTGGATGCAGATGTCTGGCCAAGCTGACCTGTTTGTCAGAAGAGAAAGGCTAGATGGGCTGTGGCGAGAAGCCAAAGGCCTGACTGTGGAAGGTCCGCAGGTGGTTGCAAGGGGCTGCTTTGCAGAGTGCAGGGTGCACCATGGCCTTCCAGGGAGAAGCAGCTGAGGAGAGGAGGGATGGGGAGTGGGAGGGAACCCAGGGAAAGGATATGTCTCCACTAGGAAGCTGAGGGAGGTAGGTGGTCTGTTGGGGTTGTGTGTGTGTGTATACATGTACATGCCCGTGTGGCAGAGAGAGGCGCTCACGTTAAGCATTCGAGAACGCTGCCATACTCCTCACAGCTGATGGAGGAGTGAGTTGGGCATATGTCATCTGGGCATCAGAGAGTCTCAGTGACCACAGGCCTTCCCGAGCCACCTGACCCAGGGCACCTGGTGTGGAGGGCCATTAGGTGACTTCTGCTAAACTTAAAGTTGATCCCAAATACATAGGCCAGGGAGCAAAGGGCACTGGGACCAAGTGAAGTGTCTGACACACAAGTTGGGGGGGCCATGAAGGGGCAGGGTCAGAGGTTGGTGCGTGAGCGCAAAGACAGAGCTGTGGGGCAGGAAGTTGGGGACCACGGAAAAGCCGGTGGAAAAGGAGTCCAGGGATTCCTTCTGAGCTCAGGGTCTTGGGGAGGGGATGCACAGCCCCGCCCTGGGGTGTCCCCCTGTGTGGGCAGGTGGACAACAGGGCTTCAGAAAACTCATGGGAAATGCATCTTATTAAAATAAAACTACGCTTGAGTTTCAAAACCTTTTGCACCAAAATAGTCCTGCATATTTCAATTCCATTTTCCCATAAATGTTTTTGAAATCCTGTTCTAAGTAAAGGTAGCCTTGGAGAGAAAAGTCTGCTTTAGTCAGACACGAAACTGTAATATTGTACAAGCAGATACATGGAAACGGAGAGAAGCAATCCGGTCTTTAAAGGAATTATTTATTCTTGCAAAAGAGTCTTCCTATAGTCACTTCTGCGTTTAGTCCCACCTGGCAGGAGAAAAGACCGTCGATGGGACATAACTTCAGTTTCCAGACTGTTGGGGAAGGGGTTGTCACAGTAGGCGTGGTCTGACGCACACCAGTGATTGCATGCCAGTGTTTTGGCGGCTCTAGGCAAGAGGCCACTTAGATTTTTCCCTTTTTCATTTCTCAGGAAGTAGTTGTTTCACTTGTTAATGAGACTCTTTTTTTGGTGGGGGGGGGACAAAAATCTTTACTTCTCAATCAGCAGTGAGAATGAATGCAAGTCACCTTGAAGAGTGCATGGGCTCCATCCACACTGTATCAATGACCAGAGAGCAACATTTGCTGGAAGGGAGGGCGGTCAGGAAGGCACTTGGCTTGTGCAGAGGATGATGGGAGGGAGGACAGCCAGGCCATGGAGAAGGGGATGCTGAGGAATGACCTCCAGTGAGAACACACACCGCTTTAATCTTTCCTCTGTGTGGGCTCAGACCCCACCACCTGCCTGGGGTTGGAGTTATTTGTCTCCCTTCTGCAAAGTGTAAGCTAGGACACGCCCTCTCTGGGCGTGGGAGCTTCGTGTTTAGCCTTACCTGTCTCATGGGGTCAGGGTTAGGATCAAGCGAGAGTCTGCAAGGGAATCAGCTCTGCTCCCTACCCAGAGGGTCTTCTTGCTAATAGCGTAGGGGCCAGGGCTATCCCGGATTCAGGGACCCAGCTCCTGCTGTCCTCCACTCAACGGTTCTCTCTTCTCTTTCAGACCTGTTTGTTCCAATATGGTAGCTTCCCTTTATCGAGTTCTCTTGATTGTTGGCCTCTGTGTGGCAACGTGCTGTGTGCCCCCGTCCAGCAGCCCTGGGGGAGGATGCCTCCACCCCTCCTCTGTGAAGAGCAGTCCTGCTTCCCAGGTAACTTCTGGCAACACCGACTTTGCCTTCCGCCTGTACAGGAGGCTGACAGTGCAGAGCCCAGGTCGCAACGTCATCTTCTCCCCCGTGAGTGTCTCCACATCCCTCGCCATGCTGTCCCTGGGGGCCCGCTCAGCCACCAAGACCCAGGTCCTCCAGAGCTTGGGCTTTAACCTCAGCCTCACACCAGAGCCCGCCATTCACCAGGCCTTCCAGCACCTCATCCGCTCCCTGAACATGTCCAGCAGTAACCTGGGCTTGAAGATGGGCAGCGTCCTGTTCCTCCGGGAGGAGCTGCAGCTCCAGGCGAGTTTTGTGGCTAGTGTCAGAAGGTTGTACAAGTCGAACGTCTTCTCCATAGATTTCTCTGACACGGCCACTGCCCAGCAGAGGATCAACAGCTATGTGAAGAAGGAGACCAAAGGAAAGGTCGTGGATGTGATCCACAGCCTGGACCCTCTGACCGCCATGGTCCTGGTGAACCACATTTTCTTTAAAGGTAAGGGGTTGATTTGGATGTTGGTTTTTGTTTGATATATTGTGTGATCAAATACACAACCTTGACAAATCTTAGACATCAGGGTGAACTAACGGGACAGTTTGAGGTCTAATTAGCTTTGCAACCAGCTGGCCACATGATCTTGAATATCTCCTGTTCAGTTTATCAGTTCCAATGGGGCCTCCTTCCACTTAGACTTTGGGTGGACTGGATAAGTGGCCTGTCTAGCTAGTTACAGCCATGGTGGGTGGGAGGAGGGGTCTCTGCATAGCTTACATTCATTCCCCTGTTGAGCTTCTTCTCAGGCACTTACTGTCAAATCCGCAGGGAACATATGGCAGGACCCCCTGGAAATCTCTCCTGACCCCTACAGGCTTGGTGGACTGCAGCAGTTAGTACATTTCTTTAAGATAAAGTGGGATTTATGTCTGCCATTTTGCTATTTCTTCTTAAAGTAGAACTTATTTTTGTGTGTCTTATGTCTTTGCATTCTGATTTCTCCAGACTATCATCTTCGAACTGTGCTAGAGAAGTATTCTCCAGTTTATCATTTTAGTTACCTTATCTTTTCTCAATATTTCTGAGCTATCTACTGAATGGTTGCTGTGGGGATTACACTGAACATCTTCATTTATAATAGTCGTCTTTGGACAAGGATGTTCTTGCTACTCAGCTCTATCCTCTTTTCTTCCTCTTCTAGCTGTGGTCACCGATAGCATCTTCACACGCCGCGTGCCCATGGGCACAATACAGACTTATTCTATTGCCTTGTGACATTGGCTTGTAGATGAGAGGAAAGTAAAGCAGACGCAGCAATTTAAACTGTGTGTTGGACTCAGCTGCTTCACTGCCTTTGTTGTGTTCCTTATGCATAGGCAATTCCATTCCTGTTTATGTCAATTCATTTCAACCTGGAGGGTGTTAGAGCTTCCCACAGCCCTGCAAACATCTTGTTTTGCCTTTAAGATTTTTGCTTTCTTCACTGTTCGTCTTGTGGTTGTATCCATCACCCAGCCGTCATAAAGTTACAACACTTGTCTGTGGTTGTTTTTGACGAACACTCCTGCGTTTCCAGAAAAGAAGGCGCCAGCATGGAGCAGGCTCCAATTGGAAGTGTAATTGGGATTTTCCAGATCTGATACATGGAACAAATCGTGATGATTGCTTCATAAGGATATCTGACAACGGCCCAGCTCTGTTTCTGTTCCTCTGGCCTCAAACACATAGGTTGCTGTTTTTCCAAGGTGTTGGAGAATGGAGCCTGGGATGGTGCCAGTTAAATGCTGTAAGGTTGACTCTTCTCATCAAGCCCAGCGAGTGTTGCTGAATCAGCTCTACCTGGCTTACACCAGCCTTTGATTTCCAGATTTCTGAAAAAGTTCGCTCTATTTTCTCCACTTCTCCTGACTGTGCTGGGCAGAGAGTGAAGATGTGGAGGTTCCTATGCTGTCATGTTCGCTGATGCTGTCACCTCTGCCCTCTAGTCTGTCCCCATGAGAACTCTGGCCAGCATGTTCCTTAACTGTTACTCTCTGCCTTGGGCAGCTGTGGAATGCATCCCTGCCTGTAGCTGCTTCCCATGAGTACTCCCTGGGGACAGGTTTGGTGCCCTGGCTGAGCTCCAAATCAGCCACAACACCGACAGCTTTGTAGGTAGCTTATCTCAGGGACTCATCTGACTGGTCACATCATGAGAATTCTCTGCAAGTTAAGTTTCATGAGGGGCCGTGCCCCATGTTCCCCTTCTTCTAGTGTCCTGGATTTTCACGGAAATGTGACTGATCTAGCTGGATTATCCTTAATCACTTGTTCCTCAGTTTGCCAATAGCAGTTTGATTCATTTCCAGGGTTCTAAGCAAGCTCACTGTCTCTATGGGCAGCAGCTCTCATTTTTACGGAGAAGTGAGTTTATAGAGGACCTGGCTACGACGTTATTGCTGCTTCACCTCACTCATTGCACTGTGACATAAAGATTTCTCTTTTCTCTTTGTGGCAGCCAAATGGACAAAGCCTTTTAACCCTACAGTCACGAACATGAGTTTTCCATTCTTGGTGGGAGACAGGGCCCCCGTGCACGTCCCCATGATGCACCAGGTGGAGACATTTGGTTTCGGGATGGATCCAGAGCTGAACTGCTCTGTGCTACAGATGCACTACAAGGGGGAGGCCGTGGCCTTGTTTGTTCTGCCTGCCAAGGGCAAGATGAAACAGTTGGAATGGGCCTTGTCTGCCAGCCGGCTGAGGAAGTGGAGCCAGTCACTGCAGGAGAGGTGAGCACCTGGTTACTGCGGGAGGATCTAACCCAGATGAGGATACATGGCCAAGCATGGCAAAAGCTGTTGAATGATCATTCCCAGCTGGACACAGGCTACAAGCTGGGCAGTGAACTTGATGCCTTGTGAGCGTGTGAGCGTGTGAACCTCACTATGATCAGATGGGTAACAATTCTGATCACCTCTCTTTCATTTCACAGATAAAGTAACAGATAGTAAATTGCCTGAGATCATGTCACTGCAGGGCTGTTTTGTCACTGCAGCTAACCAGTACTGGTAGATTCCTTTTCAGAAGCTAAAGTGAGTTTTTAAAAGTATATTTCTTTATTTTGATTTGTTTAAAAGGCAGGGTTAGGGAAAGAGGAGTAGAGACAGAGAGACAGAGAATCTTCCATCTGCTGATTTACTCCATGATTTGCCAGATGGCCAGGGCTGTGCCAGGTTGAAGCCAGGAGACTGAAGTTATTTCTGGGTCTCCCACTTGGATGCGATGGCCCAAACACTTGGGCCATTTTCCTTTGCTTTCCTAGGCACACCAACAGGGAGCAGGATCTGAAGTGAAGCAGTCACTGGGGCTGGCATGGTAGTGTAGCATGCTAATTCTCTGCCCATGGCTCTGACGATCCTCTGTGTGTGCTGGTCCGAGTCCTTGCTGCTCCACTTAGAATAATAGGTGCTCAATTGGTGTTGGCTAATAGTGATTTTCATCATTTTTGTCATTCCTAAGGAGAGCAACCGAACAATATGGACTGCAGGATAAACAGGCATATAAACAACTCTCTTATGTCCTTGCTTCTTTAGCATCATTCCCACATATTGATACTCTAGAAAGAAAAGAATCAGGGGTAGCAGTAACTCAAGAAAGTCAAAGGTCAATGCCCCAGGAGGCAGGAAAGGCTCTGAGTAGACAGAAGAACACAACAAGGTGGTAGCATTTGCGCCATGAATATGTATTGGACAGAGGGAGGCTTGGGAAGGGCATATGTGTGCGAGGAAGCAGCACACTGAAGACCTGACGTCAAGGCTTGAGAAGTTGAAGGTTTCAGCCTGGGTGTGGGTGGAGGACAAGGCAGTCGCTGGCAGGTGGAATGAGGGTGGAGCACGGAGCAGAAGATGGAGCAGAGAGAAGATGTAATAGTGGGGCCAGCACTGAGTGGGGAGGAGAGAGCTGTCCAAGGTGCTGTGTGTCCCTACAAGTCAGTGCAGTGGGTGCTCAGAAGCACCTATCCACACTTAACGCTTTCAAGTCTATGAAATGTGTATGATTTGGTGAAAGCATTAAGCTGAGACTGGGGAAAGCGTTGCCAGCTGTGCCGGGCCTCATCTAAAAAGTGCTTGATAAATGCTGGCCTTTGGCTTTGGGTTTAGGGAAATTGCCTCAGAAAAAGAGACAGATCCTAGGGTTGTGGTGGCTGATAGAATGACATAAGCATGGAAAGTCACACTAATTAGCATTAATTGAAATTAAAACTTTAGATCCTCCTTGGCAGTAGCACACTTCAAGTTGTTCAAAGGTCCCAAGTGAGTAGGCAGGTAGGTATGGAAGATTCCCTGATGGGCATTGCTGCTCCAAGCGATCAGCAGGGTTTATCCCGGGAAGGGTGGTGGGGCAGTGGTGAATGGGATGTCTCTCAGGTTACCTTGTCACCTCTGCACCCTGCTTTGGCAGCGGCCCCACATTTTCTTGCATAGTCCTAGTCTTGGGCTTCCTGGCTGGGAGATTGAGCGCCAGAGCCACTGGGGGTTTGGCTGGGATATGTTGGTCTCATACACAGTGGGCCACAATGCCTGGTGGAAGAGCAGAGTCTCCTAAAATGCCACTGGGAGGTAGAGACAAAAACACTGTGGACTGTGACTTCATCTTTCCCCTTTTCCTTCTCTGCAGGTGGATAGAGGTGTTTATTCCCAAGTTTTCCATATCTGCCTCCTATGACCTGGAGACCATCCTCCCAAAGATGGGTATCCACAATGCCTTTGACAAAAATGCTGACTTTTCTGGAATCACCAAAAGACACTCCCTGCATGTCTCCAAAGTGAGTGGATGGAGGAGCCTAGGCTGGAATAGCTGGGAGGAACTGGCCAGTGGAGTCAGCTCAGTTCGTTGACAAGGAAACAGAGAAGTGAAGCAATTTTTCAGTGGCCAAAAGAACCACCAAGGCCTGTGGCTGCCCTGCACCTCTCTGCTGCATGGTGCCTTCTGTCCCATGTCAGACAGTGCTATGAGAATAGGACCTGAATTTGTCACAATACCTCCTGTAGAAAAGCAGGTGCCCCTTGGCATTTAAATGTATCTATATCTATATCTATATATCTATATATCTATATATCTATATCTATTTATCTATATGTATATATATATAAAGAATCTTCAATCTGTTGGTTCACACCTCAGATGGCCACATGCCAGGAGCTTCACAAAGGTTTCTCACGTGGATGGCAGGGGCTCAATGGGCTGGGATCCCAGATGTGTCCCAGCTGCTCCACTCCTATCCAGCTCCCTGTTTGTGACCTGGGAAAGCAGTAGCAGATGACCCAAAGCTTTGGGACCCTGCACCTGCGTGGGACACCCTGAGGAAGCTCCTGGCTTCGGATCGGCTCAGCTTTGGCACTTGTGGCCACTTAGGGAGTAGTGACCCAGCAGACAGAAAAGCTTTCTCTCTGTCTCTCCTCTCTGTAAATCTGCCTTTTCAATAAAAATAAATAAATAAATCTTTACAGAGAGAGAGAAAAGGAGGGGAGGAAAAGAGGGCAAGCCAGGCTGTGAGCAATTGCACAATAACTGGGCAGGTTGCATGCAAATATCACCACCTTGTATGGATTCAGAAACAGGAGTACATGGCACTGGAATCATTTTTGCAATAGCAAGTGGCTCTGCCTGGTCTGCACGTGAAGACCAATGGGCCAAGTGACAGCACTGACCTCGAGGTACTAACCAAAGCTGTGAGCAGGCGCGTGGCGGCTGATCCTGATGCGTCTCGAGGCAGGTGGTGCTCTTTGTAGGCGAAACTCAAGACAAGGTAGTATGAAGGACTCTGGGGTCACTGACATCCGCTCTTCCTCTGCAGGCTGCCCACAAGGCTGTGCTGGACATCAGCGAGGAGGGCACTGAGGCTGTAGCAGCTACTGTGGCCAAGCTCACAGTCCGGTCCAAGGATGGCTCCTCCCACCACGTTCTTTACTTCGACAGGCCCTTCCTGTTGCTGGTCATAAATACGGCCACTGATGCTATTCTCTTCCTAGGCAAAGTTGAAAACCCCACTCAGGCCTAGGTGGGCAGTGGCCTGCTGAAACTTGCCCAGGAAGTTTCCAGTAGTGCTGCCTGCTGCTGCCAGGCCCGTGTCAGGCCCTGCCTCCTCTGCTTGCAGATCCACCTGACCCCAGGGATGCTGTGTCCACTGACTGGCAGAGATGCTGCTTCCCAGGCTCAGCCACTGAACTGTTGGCAGAGACCCCAGCCATGAGACAGAGCCCGACAGCTTCCCTCACGGCCTCATCCACTGACTCCCTCTGGGGCCCTGGCCTCATGACATACAGCCAGGGCACATTTCTACCCTTGGAGCTCATGAATTGCAGAACTACAATAATAAATTCAGTAAAGCTAACATGTGACTTTAGATGGCCACAGGCTCCCATAGACCTGCAGCAGCATGGTCTGGAAATGACCTCTGGCTCACGTAACTTGCCCAGATGCCATCCTTGTACATTTCAGTGGTTACCTGACTCTGCCCCACAAAAACTTGCCCAGTACTTTCTGTCTGCCAGGAGTAAATCAGACGAGCAAGGCCTCTGGCCTGTTGGGTTGTAATGAGATGATCAATCAATGATACTCAGGCCCAGCCTACAAGGCAGTGGGACGGGATGATTGGGAGAGAGTGTCAAGAAGGTAGAGTATGAGTCACAGTGGACAAGCATGAGGATGCACAATGAGGAGGCCCCTTGGCTGGAGTATGCCAGGCCACTGACAGGGTGGTGGGCACCCGGACCTAACTGAATGGCCTAAAGTGCTGGTTGAGAGCAACCATCTGAGAGAGGAAGCGGAAGCGCCCCAGGTTTTGTGCAGCTCTGGGGTTCCCTCAGGGCCCAGGGGTGGTTTCCCACCTCATGGACTCACAGCTCTCTCTCTCTCTCTAGGTTCATAGGGGACAATGGTCTGGCTCCCTCACCCTGCCCTGAGAGCCACACATGGTGCCAGGGACCACAGGGGCACCAAGCAAGGGCAGCTCACACTCTCTAAGCTGTTTTCTCCTCCTTCCTTCGGGCTCTGCTAGGCAGGCCATATGATGCTCCCCAATTCACCTCTTCCAACCGAGGGTACCTGCTAAGCCTCTGGTGAAGACCGGGCTTCTATTAGACCCCACAAGGGCACTGGCCACTAAACAACATGCGGTGGGATGGGATGAGCCAGGCCATACCTGTGCTTTGCTCCCGCCTCCATGAAGCAGAAAGGAGTCAGGCTGGAAAGCTGGTGCAAGCTAGCAATCCCCTCTTCCTGCCCCTCTCTCCTGCTCCATCCCACTCTGTTTTACAAAGGGCAGAGACTCAGAGAGTGAAGACAGCTAACGCAGCCATTGTGAGATCAGGACCCGAGCCAAAGCAAGGGTTCCAACAGCATCTCCCTGAGGCTGCCCGTGCCCAGCCTTATCACCTCCACAACACCACGTCCCCAGACCCTCTGTGAAGACCTCCAAGTCACCAGCTGTGCTACCTCCATGGGCACCGGTCACCTGGCTTCCAAGGCACCAGTAGCCCGGCCTCCATGCAGCACACTGGCCCCTGCATGGGGGTTCCAAATATGGGCAAGCATGGAACAGGGCAGGCATGCAAAGCCTACCAAGGCAGCTTTTGTAGTTCAAGGTTAGCTCCTCTTAGTAGCGATCAGGGGCCCTGGTAGCTGGGGTGGGTGGGAGATGCCAGTCTCTTCCTGTCTGTTTGTTCCCAGAGGGCATGTGGGCAACATGAAAGGCCAGCTTCATGCAGCCTCCTGGTGCCCACCTGGACTGCCATGTGCCAGTGGGTATAGGAGCACACACCCCTCTTTGTTCTTTGAGTCATCTATGCTCTGCATTTGCTTTTGCTTTTCACTGTGTATTTCTTTGACAGACCAACTACCAGAGAACACTGGCATGGGACACAGGTACTCGGTCAAATGCTCACCCAGTTTGTTTTCAAATGTACCTTGCATTTGAAGGTTTTTCTAAACAGAACTAAGCTGATTTACACTGAGAAAACTGCCTTGGAGTGAGGGCCTATGCCTTGATGTACCCAAGAGAGGACTCACCACACCACACAGGGCACGTGGGGAGCACCCCGGGTGGGGGCAGGAGGAGCCTGGGCCGGAGCCCCAGTGTTCTAGCTCGGGGGATTGGAGAGGATGAGCCCCTTGGGCAGGAAGGTGGTTGGAATATTTGTAACAAAATCATGCTGGTGGAAACACAGAGATGCTATGATGACAGCAGCGTGGGCCACTTATTTGTCTGTGAATCTGTGCTCTCACTGGCTACAAAACATTAGCCATGGTTGCTACTGGGCAGTGTGAATGTCTCACTCAAGGCAGAAGGGATGATATTCCACCTCTTCAGCTTCTGCAGCTGATCTGGCTCTGCCATTGCCTAGAATGTCAACAAAAAGCAAAACAGGGCAGGAGTTGCAGCACAGTAGGTTCAGCTGCTGCCTGGGTCGTAGGCATCCCACAGAGGGGTGCCAGTTCGAGCCCTTGCTGCTCTGCCTTCTGTCCAGCTCCCCACCAACAGCCTGGAAAAGCAGTGGAAGATGGCTCGAGTGCTCAGATACCTGCCAACCAAGTGGAGGGCCAGACGCAGTTCCAGGCTCCTGGTTTTGGCCTGGCCCAGCTCCAGGTGCAGCTGTTTGGAGGGTGAACCAGAAAATGGCATCACTCTCAATGCTGCCTTTCCAATAAATAAATAAATCTTAGAAAAGAAAAGAAAAGAAAAGAAAAGAAAAGAAAAGAAAAGAAAAGAAAAGAGAAGAGAACACAAGACAAGACAAGACAACGATGGCCACTGTTTCATGATTGCACTGAAAAATGGTCACGTTTGTGGCAGATGTCGTTGGCCAACATCTGGGGCAGCTGGCAGCAGGTGCTGTGCCCATCTGAGCGGCGAATCCCTCTGCTGGTGTTTGCTTGAGCTAAGTGCAGGCTTGCTTTGAAATTTCTGTGAATAAGATCCACGATCTTTGCAAGAAATCTACAAAAGGGGGGGGGGGAATCTGTGGAAGTTGCTTTGATTTCATCACTGAGGGATTTCTCATGAACAAATACTGGATGAGCTCAGCCTGTAGCCTGGACATGCGCTCTGGGGCCCTGTGGGTGAGCTGGGGCTTTGGGTGGAGGAAGAGTGGCTGCTGTGGTTGGTGTATTCCCTGCCAGTCTGGTGTCACTCTGCATACAGACTGTGGGGACCGGCTGGGCTGAGTGGTCACGGCCAACCTTGTGCTGAGATGTGCCTTCCTGTCTGGGAAAGGGAACGTTCCAGTCTCTCCCACGTTCCCACTGTGATGGACACCCTGGTCATCCAGATCAAAGACCCGGGGCTCTGCAGTGGCAGAACAGCCTCTGCCAGGGGTAGCTCCCGGGTCACCATTGGCTTCCAATCGCAGGACAGCTGGTCGCCACCTGGGACCCAAGAGCAGAGCCCTTCCTGTTGGTCGCACTGCCCTCACAGCCGTTCCCAAAGCTGACCTGGCAAATATTGACCGGCTGCAACACTCACTTAACCCTGCTGTCCTGTGGCGGGAGGCCACACGGAGCTGAAGTCCACAGCCCACTCAGGGGCTTCTCTGTGAGTACTGGGAGTGCTGCATAAACTGGGGGTACTGGGTTCTGTGTCTGTGAATCCTGTGAGGACTGAGTACCACAACTGTGAGTACTGTGTATACTTCAAGTGCCTGTGGTACTGAGTACTGTTTTTGTGAGTACTGTGGGTACTGTGTTTGCACCCAAAACCCAGACAGGGTGTAGCACTTACATGCTCCTCTTTCTGGCTCGCTCTCTCTGTTTCTGAATCACCCTGCCCCTATCTCCCCTCCCTCTCTCACTTTGTCAGTAGGGATATGAAAAGTGAGTCCCTTGAAGAAAAAAGGCATTGCCACGCACTGGCTCTGAATCTTAAAACAGGAACCTGGGATTTTCTGTGACCTTGCCTGAGAAGCTTGGCCTTAAGCATGGTGAGAGAAGAAGCTCCTCTATTCCTGGCAGGTAGACAAGTGAGCAAGACAGGGCCGCCCAGGGCCAAACAGCACGCAATGGCGTGGACTTACTAGAAGTCGCCACGTAGAGTGGTGGCGCTGGAGCTGCGGTCTGCTCCCGCCTCTTGTCCTGTCCCTGACCCCATATAGCACAGGTGATCCCTGGGTCTCAGGTATTTCTAAGGATTAAATTAAATAGCTTAAAGTAAGCCTTTCACAAGAAGGGTTCTGCTGGCACAGAAGCCAAGCCATTCTTTCCTGTGTGGGAGAGCTCCGGGCATTTCCTGCACCTGAGTCTCACACACTGAGCTGCAGCTGTGCTCTCTGCAGCTGTCATATGCCTCCCCCTGCGTGTAAGGACCCAGGATGTGATGTATCTAATATCCCCAATCACTTAATAGACCCTTAGCGCACAGGACCAATAAGTGCCCCAGTGACCGAGACGAGATGGAGCCCCTGGGATCTTCCAGGAAAAGAATCCAGGACTAAACTGGGCATTGTTTTACCTGCTGTTGCACCTTGGCTCAAACCCAGGCCCCTGGCTCACAACTCAGTCTTTCTGAGACCTGGCTTCTGATAGGGTGTGGCAGGGTGTGGCAGGGTGGCGGGATGTGGCAGGTGGGCAAAGCTATGGGAAGCACCAGGAGACGCCCATCACGGCTGGTTTTCCAAATTTTCTGCATCCCCCAGATTCCCTACCAAGAAACAACCCAAGTGAGCCACAGTGAGCTGTGCTGGAGGGAGGAGGACATGCCTCCGGAGACTGCCCCAGGGACTTTGACCAGCAAGCAGATTGCAACAGAGATGCGGCAGCCGTGTGTGTCCCTGCCCGCACTGGCCTTGGCTGCTGGCAGGGCCCCTAAGGGCAGTCCGGGTTATCCACTACCTGCCCAAGCTGAGGGCCACCTCCTGCACGGCCATGGCCTTGGATGTAGAGGTCACTGGGCAGGGCATAAAGAACCACAGAGTTTCTCAGCACAAGCTGGCAGCCAAGCTCATGGTGGGCAACAGTAGACAGCCATGAGCAGCAATGGGCAGGGTGGGAGGATCCTAAGAGGGACGGAGGGCACTGGCCATGGGCGGAGCAGACAGGAGGACGGCTTCTCCCCTGGCTGGGACTCCTCCTGCTCGTGCCCCTCCCCCAGGATATTCTGGTCCATTTTATAACTTGAAACACAGGACATGTGTGCTTGTTTGCAAGGGCTGCCTTGGCCAAGGGCTGCACGCCTAGTGGCTTCCACAATAGAACTTACTGGAGGCAGAAAACCCAAGGTCAAGGTGCTGGCAGGGTCAATCTGAGATGTGTGAGGGGTAACTGTCTCAGGCTTGGCTCCCAGCTCCTGGGACCTTGCTGACCATCTCTGCGACTTGGCTCGCAGGAGCCTCACCTCACTCAGGGATTTCTCTGGAGGATGGGGAGGGTGTCCTTGTGCTTTGATTTCCCCTTCAACGAGGACAGCTATCACCTCGGATTGGAGCTGACCTATTGTCTCCTGAATAAGCTTACTTGGGATGCTCTGGGACTGACAGACTTCAGGCAGACACAGCTCAACTCAGAACTGGTACCGTCCCCTGGATGTGACAACATCTGCTCCAGTGAGAGAGGATGGAGACGGACATGCCTGCTCTCCCAGCCACAACCACCCTGCTGCTTCCCTGTCCCTCCCACATGTGGCCCCATACTGACCATCTCACTCAGACCAAAGAGGCAGGGTGTGTCCCTCCCCCTCCCTTGGGCTTCAGCACTTGTAAGCCTTCCCTTATGATGGGCAAGATCGTGGCTCGTGGCCAGGCCTGGCAGCAAGGGAGGCCAGCATCACTCACTGTCACTGTGCTCTGGGCCCTTGCCCCGTGGCGTTCCTCTCAGTCTGTTCTCACATGGATGTGGTCATTATGCCAGCCTGGCCAGCTCTTACCTCCAGGAAGTTGGGAATCATGTTATTTATTTAGGCTTTGTTTTTATGTGACAGGCAAAGGGACCAAGCAGGAGACACACAACACACACACACAACACACTACACATCTGCATATTAGTTCCTTCGCCAGACGCCTGCCGCAGCTTGGTCTAGGCCAGGTTGAAGCTGAGAGGCTGGAGTTTCATCGTGGAGTCCCATGTGGGTGGCGGGGACTCACATACTTGAGCCATCACTTACTGCATATTAGCAGAAAGGTGGGCTGAAAGGGGAGTAGAAAGACTGGACCAGACACCCTGATGTGAATGTGGGCACCGCCAAGTGGCAGCTTAATCAGGGCACTGCTGAATGGGCTCCTATTACTTCTCTCCCCCTGCCCGGTTATTTAGTCCCTAGGGTGCTTCTTGGATCAGACAGAACTTCGAAAATTATGAGTGATTGAAATAATGACTGGACAGAGTAAACAAAAAAGAAAGGGGAGAAGGGAGGGAGAAAAGAGCAAAGAACGTAAGGAGAAGATAAGGGAAGGGAAAGGTAGGGTGGGAGGTAGGCTGGCATGCTGGGCTGCCGCTCCAGCTGAGCCCCAGTCCCTCCCTGCCCCTTGCTCACTGCAGTCAGTCCATAGCAGCCTTGCGGGATAGGGTTTAAGGGGGTTTATCCCTTAAGTGATAGGAAGCCATGAAGTTGTCTATAGAAATGATTGATGTGTCCACAGTTTGGTTCCAGAGGATGGGGCCCGCTTGGTTGTGGCTGCTGGGAGCTGGGGTCCTGGCCTCTGCCCACAGAGACAAGAGTCTGGAGGTGCCCCAGCCCCTGAACCCTCAACTCCTGGAGCCAGCCCCTGCCCACCACAGGGTCACCCCCACCATTACTGGCTTTGCTTTGCGTCTGTACAAGCAGCTGGCGGCAGACTGGCCAGGGAACCTGCTCTTCTCCCCAGTGAGCATTGCCAGCACCCTGGCTCTGCTCTCCCTGGCGGTCCAGGCCAACACCTCTGCCCTCATCCTGGAGGGCCTGGGCTTCAACCTCACTGAGACCACAGAGGCTGACATCCACCGTGGATTCCAGAGCCTCATCCACACCCTGCAGCTGCCCAGCCCCAAACTGGAGCTGAAAGTGGGCAACTCCCTGTTCCTGGACCAGCAGCTGAAGCCACGGCAGCACTTTCTGGACAGTGTCAGGGAGCTGCTCGGGGCTTTCGCCTTTTCTGCCAACTTCACGGATTCCGCCACCACTGGGAGGCAGATCAACAATTACGTGCGGGAGCAGACATATGGGCAAATCCAGGACTGTCTCCCGGAGTTCGGTCAGGACACGCTCGCGGTTCTCCTGAACTACCTCTTCTTCAAAGGTGAGGCCTTGCACACACAGAATTCCTTCTCTTCCTAGGCAAGGACCTGCCTTAGCACAGGGGGTGCTGGCAGGAGGTGTGTGCCAGCCTCGTGGGAGGATCTGGGCATGAGTCGAAGTTTTCTCAGCTTCAGGGGGTTCAACCGCAAAGACGCAGCCACAGCACTGTGGGGGGCATGAGCCTTCAGAAGAGATGCCCACCCAGACTCAGGGAGGGAGGCCAGGCTTCCTGGAGAAGGAAGCAATTGAGCTGAGCCTGAAGAGTGAGTGAGTCAGGCAGGGACTGTGGGGAGAAGGAAGTTGGAGCAGGTGCACAAGGTAGAGAGGCCACTGGTCATTCATCTGGCTTGACCGGCACCTCTGCTATCACAATGCAGGGAGCCTGGGAGAGTAAGAATAAGGGTGTTGGCATGGAAGGGGCATCCTGAGGACCCCAGGGCCTATCCAGGGACCCTCAGTAATGCCAAGTTTTAAGCAGTGGAGTGATATGCTCACAACTGTTTAGGAAGATCAGTCTGGCTAACACCAGGGTCTGGAGGATTCTTTAGATGGGAGCTGGAATGAGAGCCAGAAAGCGAGCTGGGAGGTATTCGAAGTGGTGTGGGGTGAGTTGGAGGGTGACCTTGAATACAGCTGTGGCTTCAGGATGGAACTGAACATGCTTGGTTATGGCTGAATGTGGGCGTGAGGGACAGGGTGACATGGACCCCCTCCCATCTCCAGTGCCCTCAGGGGACAGCTGTGGGACAGAGGGTAAGGCATGGAGATGACGCTGATCATGCAGACGTGACTGTCACTAACACATTCTGCTCTTGTGTCACGTGCTGCACCTTCTCTGCTGAGTTCTCTGCTCAGCTGGCTCACTGAGGACTTTTGGGGTGGGCAAGTGAAGAAGAGCTCTTGAACTTCTCCGTAGCAGGCTGTCATCCAAAGCCACTGGGCAGAGAAGATGCACCTGTTGTTTGCCAATGACCTGGCTGTGAAATCGGGGAGGGGGAGCGGTCTAGAAAGATTCAATGAGACTCAGTTTCCTCAATCCTAACAAGGGGGTAGTAATCCTTGTTCCTTTCCATTTTATGATGATTTGAAGAAACTCCCTCACAACAGGGGTTTAGGAGGGAGGGACACCTTTTGGTCTCTTCAAAGCCAAGTTCCTCTGAAAAGGGAACAGAGAAGAGACTGGTGGAGCTCCCATTTGGGAGATTGCTTTCATGGTCAAGCTAGGACTGAGCCCAGGCTGCCTGGCTCCTGTCCCCGGGCTCCATGTTTGCTTGGTACTCGCGTTCCCAAGAGGCAGCCGCCCGGGCTGTGTGGTTTTTCTGGCTGTGTGTCCCAGAACGAGTTCTCACAGTTTTCTCGGTTCTATGTCCTCAGCCAAATGGAAGCATCCTTTCGACCCCTACCAGACCCGAAAGAAGGAAAGTTTCTTTGTGGACGAGAGGACCTCTGTCCACATTCCTATGATGCACCAGAGGGCAATGCATAGGTTCCTGTATGACGCGGAGCTGGCCTGCACCGTGCTGCAGATCGAGTACAGCGGGAATGCCCTGCTGCTGCTCATCCTCCCCGACCCCGGGAAGATGAAGCAGGTGGGAGCCGCCCTGCAGCCCGAGATGCTGACCAAGTGGAGCCGGCTCTTCCTGCCCAGGTGAGTGCCCAAGGACATGGGCACAGGTAGACGTGGCCCTAGAGCCTGAGCAGAGCTGGGTCAAGTCCAGCTACTGGAGGGCAGCATCCAGCTTGGCCTGCAGCCCTGCCCTTGATTCCCTTCAAAAAAGTGCAAATTTCATATCTTCAGCTTGTTCTCTATCTCCCTTGTTTGGGATTTGGAGCTCTGCCATGGCAACTTCATCTTCTTTCAGTTTATCTGCTCTATTAGTTAGTTTCTTTTTGGGGTGCATCTTCTCTGATGAGGTGTGCTGGTTTGTGATGTGGTCCTCAGTTCTACTATCACTGCCCAGGTTAGGGGTGGCCTACCCTGAGCAGTCCAAGCTAGCCACGTCCCTTGCTTCTGTATGCGCTGATTGTATTCAACTGAGGCTCTGCAGTCAAATGGTGGCTGGGGCTGGAGCCCCTGAAGGAGTCTGGTGCGTCTGCTGCCTGGCCTGGACAGACCAGAAGAGGTGAAGGCTGGAAGACTTCTTTCTCCCCATACAGTGTGTCCTCAAGGCCTGCTTGAGCAAAGCAGTCCAGTGACCGTATTGCCACATGGCAGCTCAGGGCTGTAAAAGGAGGTGCTGTAAAAGGCAGGAACTGAAGTATTTGGGCAGAGATTTAAAAAGCAAATAAGAGCAGAGGGAGAGGCCAAGGTTTAAGGCTTGTGACTCTCCATGGCTTGGGTTACCACCTCTTCCCCCTATCTGCTCAGATTCCTACAATCACAGACTGGAGTTTCCTAGAATCATCTGGAAGGGTAAATTTTTTCCCTCCTTCTCATGTTGACTTCCAAGAAGCAAAACCAGTCCATCACTCTCATGAATCTTCATGAGCTGGAGTGGTGCCGTGTCCCTGAAGGCCTTCCCCTGACTTCAGCCTTGGAAGCAGCAGACTTGGCCAGGCTAGGGAAACGTGTCTTCTGTGGCTGTGTCCATTCATATATGTGAAGTGCCCACTGTGCGGCAGGCTCTTGAACACCTACTAGTTGTTGAGCTTGCTGCCAGACACTGCCCTACTAGACTCACTCAATGCCCTGTCTGTTCATCAGTGGCCTGGGACCTGCTCTCACGAGTACTGTCCTGGAAGGTTTGCAGATCGGCCAAGGTGTTCTGCCTTAGTCGAAACTCTGGGCCCCCACGGTGCCTGGGAGTGACTCAAGTAATGGTGACAATTCTCAAGGTTGAATTCATATTTCCAATCTGACTTCAGCAGAGGCAGCAGTTTCCAAGTTGGTAATGAACTCACCCAGCTGTGGGGATGTCCAGACCATTGTCAAACAATAGATAGGGTGAAGAATAACCCAGGCAGAGAGGGACAGATCCGTTAAAAGCAGTTTCTGAACTTCGCCCGAGGCACACAGGTGGGCCAGGAGTCATCTCAGATCCTCCCTGAGGAGTGGTGACTAGGGTGCTCCGGGTGTAGGGCATAAGATGCAGGCTGTGGCAGGTGCCATTGGAAGACCGATGACCTCAAGGACCAGGGGCTGCTCCTCTGTGCCTCTGCTCGGGCTGCCAACAGACAAGTGGGGGTGGCAGGTACCACAAATCAGCACCATTTCTCTGATCCCTTCTGCAGCCTGTTGGATTTGCACTTGCCGAGGTTTTCCATTTCTGGCACATATAATCTGGAAGAGATCCTTCTCAAAATTGGTCTCACCAACGTCTTCAACTTGGAAGCCAACTTGTCAGGCATCACTGGGCATCTCAACCAAACCATCTTCAGGGTAAGGAGGTGAATGTGGCAGTAAGTGCAGGGGAGGGGATGGGAAGTTCTTCTCTCGTGCGTGGTACGCTGAATGGCAAGCATCCCAGCCTCTGTCTTGTTCTGATTCTCTCCTGCCATCTCCTTCAAGGCATCTTTGCACAGAGAGCTCCCTACCCATCACCCCTGCAGGGACAGCTTCCTGTCCATCACCCCTGCTTCTGCATCTCCACACATTTCAAGGCAGGAACATAGGATTCTGGCTAGCATAGATGTTCATTTTGGAGACATCTGTGGAGCAAGCAATTCTCCAGGGTGAGGAGTGGCTTTGGTTCACACCTGACACTTTCTTCAGGGCCAGCTATGAAGCTCCACCTGCCTTTGTGGCAACCACAGAGAGCACTGGGGTGGTAGCAAGCCGGGCAGCCCCACAGCCCAGCACTTCACCACACTCCCTCTCCCATGACAGAGGTGGGTCATGATCACCGGTCATAGACCTGCTTTGTCCGTCATCTTATTCACGCAAAAGATAAAGAAGCCAAATTGGGACATACCATTGTCATGGCAGGAGAAAGCAAGAAAACATGTGCAATGGCTGTAGCATTCTCCCCACCTGTGGCCTACGCCAGGACACTCACATGCCCCTGGTTAATCCAGGTCCCATAACCAAGGCCCTTGTCACCAAGAGGGGCTGTGTTCCAACCACCCATGGCCCTGTGAGTCCTGGGAAGAGGCAGGAATTGGAGGGATGGGAATGTATATATTTGGGAAGAATCAAGTAGATTCCATGTGTGGAGGCAGTAAAGCCTGAGTTTTGTTTGTCCTGGGTTTAGGGTAGAGCTGGACTTTGCCATTTGAGCCATGATTAGGAACTTCCTAAGGGAAGTGTTTGTCTTCTATTTGGGAAGGTGGTGTGGGGCTAGACTGTGCAGCCACGGCACTATGGACAAGGTCATGCACATGAGTGTGTAAGTGTGTGTCCATGTGCGGTTGAATATGTGTATGAGTTCATGTTGGGATACTGGACAGAAAAGAAGTAGTTTGACTTTTGAATTTCTTCCATGGTGACTTTCAATGCTAGATTTACCTTTTCACAGAGATTTTTTGCAAATGAAAGCATCAACAAGGCCAGTATTGATCCAGCTTGCTTGTAAAGCCCCAGGATTTTTTCTTCCAGGGTACTGTGTGAGTCAGTTTTGGAACACGGAGCAGGGGAGCAGGGCAGGCATTGCTCACTGCATCAGGTGACCGGGGATGCTACAGCTCAAATCAGAGTGCCTAGGCACAAGAACTGTCTCTGCTTTCTGCTCCTGGATGCCCTGGGAGGCAGCAGGTGGTGGCTCAGGTGGTTGGCTCCTTGGCATTTAGAAGGGAAACTCAGCTGGAGTTCCTGGGTTCCTGGGGTTGGTTTGACCCCAGCTTTTGAGGGCATTCAGACAGCGAACCAGTGGATGGGAGCTTTTTCTTTGTTCTCTCTGTATCAGATAAATCAATACTTTGCTTTTAAAGGGCAGGGGGACCTGGAAGAATTCCTTGCATGAATGCAGATGGGAACTTAGCACATCAGACATCTGGCACCTCTGAGTGCACCTGAACACCCCAGATGCAGTCAGAGTAAGATGAGCACCTGACATGTAGGGAGGTTGGGTGCAGCTCCCAGCAGGAAGCGACACCATGTGCACAGTACTTAGAAGGTGCCTTGGAGGATTGCCATTGACCTATGCAGGCAGCTGTGCCCATGGAAGTGATGGGTGGAGACAGGGTGAACCTGAGGACCTGGCAGAGGGTTGAGGGAGAGAGGCTGGTGGGGGGGGGGCTGGAGGGTCCTGACAGAGGGGCTCTGCCCCTGCCTCCCTGGTGCTGTTGAAGGCAGTGTCTGCCCTTGCAGGCCCCTGGACTGATGCTGGCTCCTTCCCTCTCCTCTCCTCCAGGTGACACACAAGGCAGCGGTGGACATGCATGAGAAGGGGACCCAGGCAGGGGCTGCCTCTGGCCTCCTCTCCCAGCCCCCAGCCCTGGGTGCACTGCCAGCACCCTCTGCCCACTTCAACAGGCCCTTCCTGCTGCTCCTCTGGGAGGTGAGCACGCAGAGCCTGCTCTTCCTGGGGAGAGTCGTCAACCCAGCAGCAGGGTGACCATGACAGGAAGCCTGGGACTGGCTTGCTTTGTCTCTCCCCCAGTGGGCAGAAGGCCGGCATCTGCCTACAGCTCAGGGATGTGGGGCCAGGCAGCTCATCAGTGTGTATGCGGTCTAATAAACCTGACCCTGGAGTCTGTGCACTGAGGGGTAATGCTTGCCAGGATGGGCCAACTCGTGGCAAAGTTGGCCACGCATGCTGTGCTCATTTCACTTGTGATGTCAGCCCAGGTTACAAAGTTGGAAGTGATGACCATCCTTGTGCTGTGGCCTCCTGGGGGACACACACCACTGCCACTGCTACTGTAGTCATTTGCTGGTGTCCCCTAGAGTAAAAGCCATAGCAAATAGCACAGAGGACACAGAGTCCAGTGGCCAATCTGGGGAAGACAGTCAAGTGAGGCAGCATTGTCCAGAAATCAGGGGCCAGATCATCTCAAGAGAAGGTTGGTCCTGGATCCAGGGCCCCCAACCATGTCACGTGAAAAGCAGGGGGTGTTAGGATGGGCTGGTGTGGTCACAGACCACCAGCCAGGGAGGCAGCAGGGCCCAGGACAACCACAAACACAAGCTGAAGCAAGGCAAGAGGATGGGATAATAGGGAAGCTGGGAGCCAGATCCCACCGGCACAGGGTGTCCTCTGGAGGGGCTGTCCAGCTGCCCTGTGTGTTGCTCTAGAAGCATCCGTGTGAAACTAGTGCAGAAGCAGAAAGGACCCTGGCTCAGGTGCATACCATGTGCATGACGATGCCTTCTGAGCTCTCTCTAAGTGGATCTTCCAACATCCTAGAATAAGGACTGGTCAAAGAGCTGTGTGCTCTGAAGGCCCCAAGACGGCAGGTAGCTGGGCACACCTGTCCCACTCCGACTCACAGCCCTACCTCTCCCAGAATTTCCCAGTGGGGAAGTATGAGTGAGATGTGAAAGAACAGTGGGAGGCCAAGGGCTCTTATACCTGTGACTTGGCCGTGGCTTTGAGCCAAGCTCATTCACAAAACCCTGCTATTCTGACATATCCCTGAGACCCGAGTCTTGGATCTTGGCACTTGGATGATCCAAAACCAGGAGGAGTGGCAGGTGGGTATGAGAGGGAGACGTGTCATCAGACAGAGTCAAGAGGAGATTTTTGCCTCAAGCATGGTGCAGCCACCCTGGAGGGAAGCCAGCCAGCCCCCTGGCTGTTGCAGCCACTTGGAGAGTGAACCAGCGGATGGAAGGTCTTTCTCTCTATATTTCCTTCTCTCTATATATCTGACTTTGCGATAAAAATAAATAAATCTTTAAAAAAGAAGAAGAAGAAGGGGTAGGGGTGTACCTGTGGCAGTGGCAGCTCCAGGGGAGCACAGCCCCAACGAGCTCTGTGTCAAACTGAAAATGAGAAGTCAGCAAGTGAAGTGTCACTCTTGGGGCCAGTATAAATACATCCTGCCTCGTGCTCTTCCTTTGCGTGCCTGCTCTCTCATGTAGAATTCCAGAAACATCCATTGTTCAGAATTTGGTTAAAACAAACAGGCAAAAGCAAGCAACGGACAAGCCAGGAGTTAAACAAATAAAATAAGCCTTCCTCCACTGCTGCTCACGGGTGAAATCAACTGACGTCTCCTGCCACAAGCGGCAGCGGAAGTCTGGATAAAGCACTTCTCAAAGCTCTTCCTTAAAGCATTGAAACACTTACAGGAGAATAAGGACGATGGGAAAGGGTGCCAGGAAAGATGAACATCTAGAAAGGCAAGCAGGTGTATGCCTGCTGATCCGAGGCAGAACGGCTGGTTATCTAAAGAAAAAACCCGCAGCCTCGAATAACGCAAAAGCATCACCCAAGGAGACACTCAGACACAGGACAGAAATCACACGCACAAAGTGTGGGTGCAGCCCTGCTCCCCGCCTCACCAGGTTCCAGAGGCTGCAGCCTGAGAGCACACTGGAAGCCGGTGGGTGGCTGCCCCGGGAGATGTGAGTAGGCACACGAGGTGAGGGGCTGTTACTGATGTGGTGAGAGAGCTTGGGGTGCGTCCTTCTGATGGGAGCAAACCTTGGAGAAGTTAAGGGGGTGGCGGTGCAGGCACAGTATGCACTTCAGAAGCAGTGCCCGCTGGCCACTGGGTGGCAGTAGGGAGCCAGGAAGGGCCAAGTGGGAGACCAGGAGACTGACAACCAGGGTGCTTCCCCAGGGGAGCTGCCCTTTAAGGCTTGCCCGGCTCCCTGCTGGTTGTTTGACCTACAGGTGCTCCCGGTGAGCCAGCACAACAACACGAAGGGGCTGGTGTAATCGTCATCTCGTTTTTCAACAAGAAAACTCAGGCACCAGGAAGTGATGTCACTTGGGGTGATGACGAAGCTCATGGCTGTCTGGAGCCAGGGCTTGACTGCCCGTCTGCTGGAAAAGCTTCCGCTGTGAAGTGTTTGTAGTTGTCGATGCAGGACTCGATAAAGACAGCAAGAAGTTGAAGGAAGATGTGGACTGGGGACTGGAGCTAGGATGCTTTAGAAAGGCCACCAACTACGGGGTGGCCACAAGGCTAGGCTGGTGCTCGGACCCCGACAAGCAGAGCTGAGTGGCGATCTCCAACTCAAGCAAAGGCTGAAGCCGGGAAGGCAGTGGACAGTTCCTAAGAATCCTGGGGAGGAAACCAGACTCTGTCCCACTCACCCAGTGTACCCCCATCACAGACCAAGTTCAATGTCCTGCAATGGGCTGTGAGGCATCTCAGGAAGTGTCACACGTTTAGTGGGTACACACACACACACACACATCAAGCCCTTGGCGTTTTATGGCTTGGAAACCACCTACCCTGCCTGGGAATAATGGGCCAACTTCTCAGAGCGTGTGGTGGGGAAGGCTGCAATGGAAGGAACAATAGCAGTACATCCCCAAGTTCTCCAGGTCTGGCTTAGACACCGATGAGCTCAACAAACACTGGCAGCCAGTTCCAGAAATCCTCCCCGCTCATCTTTTCCTGGACCAGAGCGACCTGCTTCTTGTCAGCAGGTGGAAGCCCAAACCTCCACCCCAAGTGGGTGTCACGGAGAATCCTCGACTTGCAGTCAAGTGGAAGACCACAGGGCGTCATTTCCAAAGCCGTGGCTCTCAGGATGAGGGGGAGTGGGGATCTTTCATTCTAGTGAGATGAAAAGGCAGGAGGGAAGTTCTTGCCGTCACTGGTGGAAGTGAGTGCCCATGTCCACAGGGGCACACTGGCAGGTGCAGAAACTGCTCTCTCTCTCTCAAGGCACACATTTGCACCCCAGTGGGAGGGTCTGGTGTCAGAGCAGACTCGCCCCATTTGGCATCTGTGTGCCGGGGTTTCTGTGGACAGAGGAGTCACATGGCTCGTTAGATCTTACCTAGGGGCCTTGGACCAACCCCTGCAACACACACACACACACACACACACACACACACACACACACACACACACGGGACAGGGTGAAAGATGTTGGTCCTCCACCTTCTGATGGGAATTATAAAGCAAAGACGCCCACTATACACAGCTTGTAATGAAGTTTGTAAACAGCTTGTAAAGCAGACCCTCATGGGGCGGGGATCTCAGCAGGAGAATGAAGAAAGGCTGACTTCCGGGCACTCTGTGCTGTCCCCCAAAGCCATAGTCATTGCCATTCGATCTGGCTGGGGAATGCTTCTCTCCCCAGATTGGAACTAAAAGCATGGAAAGCCACTCTACAAAACACCAAGCATTTTGGAAGCTTTAAGTCCCAATGAAGACTGCCAGGCTGCTCAAGGCCTCGGCAGGTGACAACTTGACACCTTCCTGGCTTGCTAATAGTTGGCAACAGGGACTAAGAGGTCCGAGAGGTGCAAGCAAAGAAGGCCCTGGGGTCTAGGCCGGAGCTAATGTCTCGGTCCCACCCCTCCCAGGCCCATGGGAGCAGATCTCCGCACATCGGGCCTTTGGGTGCTTGCCACATGTGGTTCCTGTCACCTCTGTGAAAGAATTGGGAAATAGAAGCCAGGTCTGTCAGGAAGCTGCCCGGTGACCACCTCGACATACAGGCTTGAACGGGACCATGAGAAGGCCTGCAGGGCAGCACACGCCCAGCACAGGCCGACCCGTCCAGATGCTGCGGTCCACCAGGAGGGCATCCCTCCCCACCACTAGGACACCACCCTGGCATGGACAGGACATGCCACTGTGCGATGTGGTAAGAGAGCTCTCTGAGGCTGCCAGCCTGCCGACCTGGTGTGGGAAGTGAGCCTTCAGGCTTGCCCTGACTTTCTGCTAGAATCCTACCAATGCCAAACGGAAGTGAAAGAGGCAAAAAAAAGGGGGGGGGGCGGGGAGGACTTCGCCTAGAGCAAACCTGAGGCTGGGAATGAAGACACGCCGTCATATCCTCAGGTTGTGACTTTCAAAGTGGAGGTGGCAGGAGATGCCTGAACATAACCAGGGCTGGCTGAGCCAGAGGAGGTAGATCATCTGTGGGTTTTCAAGCTCAGTCATCGCTTGAGGGGGATCCTGCCAACCTTATTATGGGACTTATTATGTCCTTAGGATCTTTGATATAAAAATTATTTGTTTAAAAGACTGAAAGACGGGAATTTTTAAGAGCCCCTTGGCCTGCAGATACATGGCTTATTTCTGATGTGATGCCATAATGAACTGACTTGACATCACAACCCGGAAAGGGCCAAGGGGGCCTCCTGTGGGTTTACTCATGTCTTCCCATGCACAGGCTTTCATGTTTACTTTAAAGATTTATTTTATTTTTATTTGAAAGAGTTACAGAGAGAAGGAAGGACAGACAGACAGATTTTCCATCTACAATTCACTCCCCAACAATGGTCAGAGCTGAGCCCATTCGAATCCAGGAGCCAGGAGTTTCTTCTAGGTTTCCATGTGGGTACAAGTATCCAAACATTCGGGCCACCTTCTGCTGCTTTCTCAGGCCACAATTGGGGAGCTGGATTGGAAGTGGAGCATCTGGGACTCGAGCCAACATCCATATGGGATGCCAACGCTACAGGCAGAGGCTTAGCCT